CTACAGATGGCGTTTACTGCGCCATTTGTAGTATTTTCTAAAACGCACTGTTAAGACAGCAGGTAAAAGTTGGTCTGTGTTCTGTCGGAGCTGTCTGCGACGCGCTGATGAGATCCAAAAAGATCGAAATCGTGATCCGCGTTTGGCAGTTTCGACAGAATACAGACCACTTCGAATTATTTTACTCAAAAGTATTTATTATTAAAAGTTAATTTCATTGTTCAAATCATGTACCAAGGCGTCTTTGAAGAACTATATCGTATTGAGTCGGCAGATACCACTGGGTGTGTCATCCACCTTACGATTAAAGGCTTATTCAAATAGATATATACCTTTAATAATGTATAAATGAATTTGTTTATTTCATCGATTAATTAATCCTATCATATCTACAAGAAAAGAAAATTCCGCACAATTTTTTAATCTAATGGTAACATACCACACAAGTAACGACACTGTCACTTATTTATAAACCAATGAAAACAGTTCATCGAACGGCAGACTTGACGTTTACATTGAAATTTCAACGATACTTTCATCGTATATGCATTTGCTGCGGATTTTATCTTTTATTTGGGTAAATTCCCTCTCACTCACTTCGTCAGTGTTGTCTTTTCCTGCAATAACTTTATTTAATTTCAAAGAAATTGTTTTAACGATAATTTTTGGAAGTCAAATGCTCTAACATTTCTTATATTTTCAGTGTTGAGCTGGTTGGTGCCACTGTCGAATTTAGTTTTAGATATTCGGTGAGAACTCTCCAATTAACGTCTCTTTCGATAATACCAAAAATTCAAGGACTAGACGTAAGTAGTCTATTCTATTTCTATTGATATATGTCACAATGTTTTACCATAGGTATGTTTTATGTTTGTTCATCACACAGTTAGTTGAAGCCAGGAACTTCACTTTTCGATTAAAAATTCTAGAGAAACGACAAAAGATGTGCGAAACATGATAGGTTAAAATTTTTAAAGACTAGTGTCTTGTAAAATTTCATTCGATTTATTAAGTGATTTAAAATCTATTTGTGAATTGAAACGCTACAAAAAACAACTTCTGCCTTGCAAACATAACCTATAGAAACAGTACAATACGGCAGTACAACATTCTGGAGCTAACTCATCATTGAACGATTAAATAAAGCATGGAAAGATTGTCTAGGTCTACTTTCGATATCCACGATGTCATCGCTTAATAAGAACCCTTAATTAAAAATGACCCATTTTGACGTATCTAATCTAAAGTATTAAACAATTGGCAAAAGATGGGTCGATCTAAATGTGTACATTTGGTTGTATAATTGGAACTATACACGTTAATAACATGTAATAATATTATTAGATTTTCGCTTGACCTATATATATTGTAAACATGTAAGGATGAGTTACAGAGATAGAAGAGTGAGTCAGGCAAGGATGCCCACTGCCACTGCTACTTTTTAATGTATGAATGGAAGACGCGATCAACATCATTAAAGACAGTATAACTGTAGGGATAGATATACAGGGGCAAAAGATGAGTATGCTTAGATTTGCAGATGATACAGCAGTATTAGCATATAGCAAGGAGGAGTTAGACATAGCTTTCAATAAAATTGAAGCGGTATTGACAAATCAGTATTGTATGAAAATAAATAAAAGTAAAACAACAATACCGGTAAGCAACGGAAGAAAAAGTAGTGAAAGAGAGGTGTCTGTTTGGAACGCGGCGCTGTACGGGTACGAAACATGGACGATGGGCGCGGTGAAGAAGATAAGGTTAGAAGCGTTCGAAATGTGGTATTACAGGCGAATGATGAGATACCGTGGATAGAGAAGGTTAGAAATGAAGCGGTATTAGAAAGAATAGGAGAACAGATGACTCTATGGAAATCAATAAGAAATATGCGAGATAGGTTGGTAGGACACCTTCACAGGCATGAAGGTCTAGTCGGATACATATTAGAGGCATATTAAGAGGATTTGAGGTAGACCTAATTTAGATTACTGTTCGCAAATAGTTAAGGATGTGGGTTGTTCTGGTTTTAGGGAAATACGAAGATTAGCTAAAGATATGAAAGAGTGGAGGTGCGCGTCCAACCAGTCTTACGACTGCCGACCTTATGAAGATGATGACTGACGTATATATAGTTAGTTACGTTTGCAAATATACCTACATTATAAAATTATTTAAAAAATTTGACGATTAACTCCTACGCGCAAAAAGCTTAAGATTTCCTGGGAATGCTCTTAAGTTTAAGTTTTCCACCATAATCAAGATACCGTTTAAATTTGAACGGGTATTAATATATTTCTTATATATCTACGATTACAGAGATAATATGTGTTTCCAATTAAAATGTATGCGGATGTCTCTCCTGCTAGCACGACTTTCTGGAATTGTGGACTGTTATGGGATAATCAAAAATTTTAATCGAAAATCGATAACTTTGATGTGTTCTAGTTGGAATTAAACAATGTCAAATTTTATTAGTCGAAATTATCATAGATGAGCTGTGGCAGGGGCTGTAATTAAACGCCCGTCACCACCGTCAACAACGGTACCCATCAGTCCAAGCATGAACGGTTTTACTTCTACTCTACTATCGATTCACGACGTTACCAGTAAAAATAATCGAATTCTCTCATGTAGTCAGGGCAATTCGTGCCTATTTATAACATCCCAACTTTAGATGCGTTTAAATGCACGCTTCTTTTATTGCTTTCTGTCGCTTTTCTTTTACTAAATACTTCTTGCTAATTATATTCGCAATAGCAATGCCGTGAATCAGAACTAGAACTAATTGAAATTATACATCATCTGATCTAACTATACATTATCTTCATGCTCATTTAATTTTACTGTTCTCGGCTGTCCCAGCATGAACTTGAAAAAATTAATTTGTTTCCTTGAACAATTCGATCTAGAATTAAACTGAAATGGCAACGCTTCCGAACTTTTATTCCGGATGAAATCGTCGATCTTATAAATGGGTTCTTGTCTGCTTATTGCCAGGGTACAAAATCAGGTGTGACTGAAAGAGAAAATTACATACTTAATCTTCATTAGATGTAGGTAATAATTCCGCCAGTTCATGTCAGAAGTTATAGACAAAATCCGAAAATTTCGTGTTATGGGTAATTGTTCTATTTTCCAAACCTTTTTATATATACTTAACTTATTGAAATTACCTAAATTACATAAGTACTCCATTTCTGCTGTTAAAATCACGATAACTTGTTCTTAATTTTATAGTAAGTTCGTTCCAGACAACGAAGATTTTTAGAATAAAAAAAAAACGTCACTATCAGGTTGTTAATCTTTTACAGTTCATCTGAATTGAGAACAATGTTTAGAAATAATGAATTAATAACAGAATTTTGCAAAATCAGTGTAACTTTGTTGAGACTAGAATTTAAAAACAATTGCTTCATCTTTAAATTATCAACTTTATAAATAAACTAGCTGACTCGGCAGACTTAGTACTGCCACAATCGATAAATAAAAGACCCAAACTTTTGTATAAAATAAACTTGGTTGTCAAATGTCAAATATTATGGTTGCATTCAGAAATTTAATTTGTGATAAAACTTAAGATTTATCAATCTACATAAAAATAATCTGAAAGATAGTTAACAACTTTCACATTTATTCACCTTTTAAACCTTCTCTGGACTTAATAATAATTCGCCAAATCATGAATCTCATAATTTTTGTTTTCTCTCTGGATTTCAGTTGGAACTTAGAGGATTCTTGAATGGCCAAGCTTCTGAACTTATTATCACTTCTGAAGAAATCGTCGATTTTATAAACGAGTTCCTGTCTGATTACCAGGATGCAATCAGTTCTGCTTTGCAAACGGGAATTAATTACTTATTACGATTAGTTGGCTCACCCTCTTCTTAGTCATCATTGGAATGAGACAATAAGTACTCCCGCTAGTTAATTTAAGAAACCACAGATTTCAGTATTTTTATAATACATAAAATTACTTATAGTAAATAAACGTTTATGACAATCTATACTAGTTTATAATCCATTTAAAACAGTAATCCTTTTTAAACTTGGCACATAAGAGACAGGCTGGTTAGCACAGATTTTCTATCATTTTTCAATTTTTTTTGTGCAACACCTGCACGGAGAGCCTAGACGTCTACCTACAAAATCATTATCATTAGACTCGTGTTTCGATAATCCCGAAAACTCTTCTCCTAATAGCTTACAACTAACCCCGAGTGACGTTTAAACCTTATGGTCGAATTCAAGTCAACGAAATGTAAACAAATCTTCCATGGTTACAAATAAAGGCGATGGTAACGAAGATGTTTTTACATCTGAATGATATCAAAGATGACAAATTTTATAACTTCAGCCTGATAGAATAAAAACCTAGAACAAACAACTAGGCGGTCTACTGGCAAAGTTAAATTCATTATTTTCAATTCAATTCACAATTATGGAATATGTTTCGGAATCACCAAATTTTTATAAATTTAAAAAGTCCAATACCAAAAAAGGCGTCTTAACCGTTACCAGAATGTTGAACCAATGCTGAAATACAGATCAGAATTTTACGTTGTGAAATGGAAGATGCTAAACAAGAATATATACATACTTACTTATACTATCTTCAAAATTATTTATTCACATAGCTTTCGAGTTTCGCCTTTTCCTACCGTAACCTAATAAGTGAGATGAACATCAGAACTTCAAGAGCAACTGAAAAAGCGGCCGGCTGTGTATATATTGTCAGATGTAAACAACTCAACATACACTGTCTACGTGTAAGATAATAAACATACACAGTGACAAAGAAGACCAGATTTTCTAGACGTCACATTCTGGATCATTCTAGAACAAGGCTAGCCTCTATAAATCTTTTATATCGTTGGAAAGATTCGTACTGGAATTTGCCAATATAGCCCGACCACTACACAGACGATAAGAGTTTCATTCCAATAGATATCCGAATGCCAAAAAGCATTTGACAATCTGAAGGTTACACTCTCTGGAGCTCCAGTCTTTGCACAGCCAGAGTTCAACGATCCCGATGTTAGTACTGTGAGACTTGGTGTGTTACCTCAAGTACAAGACGGAAAGGAAAAGGTCATCAAATACTTTAGTAAAACAGTCTAGGAACCAAGAACGAAATTATTGTCACCTATCGAATGCTACTGACTCTCGTTAACACACTCGAACATTTCCACAAGTTCCCGTATGATCGGAACGGATCACGCCTCGTTGAAGTGAAGAACTTTCTGCAATCTAAGAACCCGAAAGGACAAATTGCACGATGATTACAGGAATACCAGTTCGACATCGAGCGTCGTCCAGACAAACGACACGGCAACGCAGATGCACTATATCGGAAACCTCACGTAGAAATCTGCAAACATTGTTCAACTGAGATACATAGAAGCTGGAACCTCAAGATCATCGTGGGCAGTTATGAGCCATCTAAGCCAGATAACGAAGTTATTGTAAATTTCCCTTACCATGTATGGAACACAACATCTTGAAAAAACTGTGGTAGAGTCCAGATGGAACCGGAAACAACTTCCAAGTGGTACCTCCGAAAAAATGAATTTCAAAAATGTTAGAAGCAATCCATGGTGAAGGACACTTTGGCGTTACAAAGACACTAGGAAAGGTACGCGAACGATTTTATTGGCTACGAAGTAGAAGCGATGTGAAAGACTGGTGACTTGCAAACTCCCATTTTACACTTTTAGAAGTGGTATTTTGAAAACGCATTTTAAAGTGATTGTATAAGAAACGCCTGAGCAAAATATTAAATCTTTAGGCCAAAGAGTTACGAAAAAATAATAATGGATTGATGCACTAAATCAAGAGTAAATATCCTAAAAAAAAGTAGTAATGACGTTATAGGAAATGAAACGGAATTTCATAAAACACTTTACAGATCATAACAATACATATCAGGCAGACGTAAATTCAACGAGATGTACATCATTGGTCATAGCAGAGGTTGTCCAAGTAATTAATAGATTCAAAACAAATAAAAGCCCTAGTTTAAACAACATCACCAAGGAGGCCCTAAAAGCACCTCATTCATTTCTGGCTTTACCGTTAACTCACCTTTTCAATCGCATTTTGGAAACTTTCAAAACACCGACACAATCATCAGAGCCCATGGAAATAATCTGTTAGGAAAGAAAGCATTTGAATTCATTTATAGCAATCTAATGGCTGTATTTTGTATGGTTACCATAAAATAAATTTTTAACCACGAATATGTTTTTTAATGTTTAGATTTGGATTATTTCGGGTTTGTTTGAAATGGTTTATTCAAACGAATTCTCCAAATTTTGTGGTCTTCATTTCTTAGGTGTTGACAATTACATTCGCAGTTACGTATTTGAAACGTAACGAAATGTCTTCAAAATGAAAAATTTATCAAAAAGTTTGAAGCTATCTAGCAACCATCTTAGATGATCATATGTAAATTCCTTTAGCCATAACTGACCTTATACTAATGTATATACTATATCCTTGGTGGCACCGCAGTCAAGGATTACATTTCCTTTATAGATTATCATCATTAGGTCGTCAGTCCTAAGACTGTTTGGACACGTACCTCCACTCTTTCCTATCCTGAGCTAATCTTCGTATTTCCCTAAAATTAAAACAACCCACATCCTTAACTATTTGTGAACAATAATATAATCTGAGTCTACCTCTACCCCTCCTAACTCCCGTTTCTGTCTCTAATATGTATCTGAGTAGACCTTCATGCCTGAAAAGGTGTCCTACTAATACATGTAATGCTATAAAAAATGATCTTCTCCAACTTTACAGAAAATTGCGCCCCGATTTTCAAAATATTTTTGCTCACATAACAATGGACCATCGATTAAGCTCACTTGAACTTACCCTTTATCGTGATTTTCGTCAGTGATTGGCTTAGACGTGTATTTAACATTTTTCATTAGTATCATATTGCGTCTTTTTTTGTTCTTGTTTTCGTCGAAGAGCGGAAATCTTCAAAAGACAACCAACCGTCCGTACAACTAGATAGTGTAGGATTCCCGACGTATTGTGAGACTTAAAGCACGTCCTATTAGAGCTTTTATTAGTTTTTATCTTCGTTTTGATAAGCTGGTTTTTGCTTTTCTCTTTTTTATATTCTGTTTATTAACAAATTATTTGTGAATGTTATCTTTTCGTGATATGAACTGATTGAGTGGCTAAAAGGGAATAATTATTAATTAATAAAATTACAATCTGACTGGAGTGCATTTTGGAGTGTAGTTGTTGAATTAATATTTACCAAGAAATGCCAAGAAAATGGAAGAAATTAAATAAAATTTTTAATCAGTAAGAAGACTGACAATTTGGATTTTAATGTTATACCTGAGAACGATGATAAAAATTGTAGTTCAAGACCAATAACATCAATGAGCATAGTTTGTTATTCAATACAGATACATAATGAAAAACCGGTTCTTCTCATTAAATTACTATATCACTGATATCTCTATTTGCAATGATGACAATTGTTGCGTCTTCANGTTTGTTATTAAATACAGATAGATAATGAAAAACCGGCTCTTCTCATTAAATTACTGATATCTCTATTTGCAATGATGACAATTGTTGCGTCTTCAATTAATATTTGTAAATACAGATATATTCGATTTTGTTTGTGTTTGTTGTAATGAAAAGTTGTAATTTTTGTAAATATTCGTATTGTTCGTGTTTCTTTGCTGTCAAGGCTTTGTGTTTTTGTTCTGGTTGTATTCGATTTTAATGTATTTATTTGTAATATGAATATTGGAAAAACTTTGGCGGTTGTTGTGGACCAAGCACTTTTCGGTAACAAGGTTACCTTCTTCAGGGACTGAAGTGAACTAAACCTAAAAGGGAACTAATCCTAATTTATAGTAATAGTTGTTAAGGTTCAGTGAACATGTCGCAATGACAACAAGGTTGATGTTCAATGGACCTTAACAATCACAAAAATAATTAAACTAGACTAAATAGCGGAGATCCAGGGATAGGACCGCTGTCATTGTTAAGTACAATTTCCTAACTTCCCTATGTTGGGCAACACTAGATTTTTCTTCTCTACCAAACTGTGCATGAGCTAAATGTTCCTTAAATCTAGTTTTGATTGAGCGTCTAGTCTGACCAATATGTTTTTTACTAGAGTCATTACAATTAATTCCATATATCCCCGACTTTTCTACAAAAGCAATTTTATCCTTAGGATTATGAAGGAGAGTTTGAATGGAGTTGCCATTTGAACTGTATGCAATCCGTAAACCAAGTTCTCGAAAAATGCCCTGAAGAAGGTAACCTTGTTACCGAAAAGTGCTTCGGACAACTACAGTGTCGTGTTTTGGCGTTGGGGTTGTAAGCTATTTTGTTTGTATTTATTTGTGTAAATATAGTTAAATATTCTTTTGTTAGTATAGGTAATGTAGTGATTTTAACCAAGGGATCGGACCAGGTAGGTCTCAAAATATTATTAAGAAATGGAAAACCCCAAGTCCGTAGCTACATCGTCACTTCGGAATGTACCGAGGATACCTGAGGGGTGCGTAGCGACTACGAAGGGGTAATTTTGCACGATAGGCGTTGTCTATTTTGTGCCGACTTTATTTAAACCATGAAAAGGCAAATGTTTGGCATTCGATATACCAATTCAAATCAATTCAATTTTAACTAACTGTGCAACTCAATCTTCAATTCCAAATCAATTCAAATCTAACAGTGCAATCAACAATTATATAGAACAAACAGAATAGCTCAAAACCCCAACGCCAAAACACGACACTGTAATTGTCCGAAGCACTTTTCGGTAATAAGGTTACCTTCTTCAGGGACTGAAGTGAACAATTATATATTATCAAACCAACAATATTCAAGCAAAATAGTTAGTAAGTTGTACATAGTGTTCATATTGTACAAAATAAAAAACAAACAAAAAATTTATTTGTTCTTCAACCAAAGAAAAAATCCGAAAGCTAATATGGGGCAGTGATCGAATACTGCAACTACCGAACAACAATGTTCCGATAACTAAAATTTCTCCAGAAGAGTCGTATACAAAACATGTACGCTATTTACAAAATGAAGTAGAAGGTCTTTTAAAAGCCAAAAAACATACACCAATTTATCTTCTACAATAGCTTCATATTATTTTTCAACATAAGCCCCTTCCCGTCCAGACACTTGTGATACCGATAAGCGAGATTTTTTTTAAATCTTCGCATACCAATTTCCTGCTATTTGCGACAGCCAGTTGTTTAACTTTTTTTTTAGCATTTCCCCATTCTCAATACGTATACCCACTAAGTGTTACTTCAGTTTTCGGAAAAGATGATAATCGCTGAGTGCGAAATCGTTCTGAAGGAGCTGTTGACTTTCCCTTGCACTACGAGGGCGCATATTGTCATCAAGGAAAAACATTTTGCGCGTAGCTCCCCACAACGTCTACTTTGAATGGCCCTTCTCAGTTGCTGCAACACTTCACAGTAACAGTGAGCGTTAACTGTGATTCCTTCTCTCTAGATAATCAATAAACAGAACTCTTGCGTCCCATCAGAATGCCGCGGCAGTCATTTTTGTGATCACAGGATTCTGTGACTTTTGCTATCTGAACAATCACAGAATTGTATGACTTTTGCTTTTGTGGAGCCAATGGAGCCAATTCATCTTTTCTTTCTCGAAATCATACGTTCCTTAAAGGATTCCGGTGTCCAGTGGTGGACTCAGGTATCGTCTCTGCTCACGCTCGATCTGCGTCCACTCTTTGTTCCTTATAAACCAGAATCAACAATCGAGACACCCATCTAGCACTCACATGTTCGTCGGTAACAACTTTTGACAGTTGAAGTGCGACCAATATGGATGAGTAAGGAAGTTGCACCAGAATTTAGTCGAATGTGACGTGCGTATAACATTCAATATTGTTGCGAATGCGTCAATGATATCAAGTATGCGGCTTGTTGTTCATGAACATTGTTTACCACAGTCGGACCATTGTCCTATGTCGAGTATCAGCCGTGGAATAGTTATTTGCTGTGGAAAACAAAAATGAAGGCACGCAATTCTCAATCGGTGGTAGAAATAATACTTCCATTGTTATTCGTAATGTATTAATGCGGCAGAGCGACGCGATGTCAAAAAAGTTATTACAATGTGTCAAAGTTAATCATGATTGAAAGAGATTATAGGATGCAGACGCAATGGAAATATACAGAGGAGAAGCTTAATATCACAAAAAAGACAGGTTTCATTGATTACATAATCGAAAGCGAAAGGGGGAAATAATAATTATTGAAGCGTACAATATTATTTAACGAACACTCCGCACCAATCAACAACAGAGTAACTAATTCTATTATACAACCTAATAACCAAAATTAATGGGGAATGACTACTGCGAGAATAAAGTCTTTCCAAATACTTGTGATTCACCAGAAATTAAAAGAACAATTAGTACCCAAAAAAGGGTAATCATGGGATTTATCTTTTCAGTACGGATATTCTAAAAAATACAAAAGGAACACATAGCTAAATCTATAACTCAAATAATTAATAAAATAACAATAAACAATATCCGTAACACTCACAAACTGAACAGCTGCAGATCTACTTCCTTAGTTTAAATTTAAATTTAATTAAAATATTTGAAAAGATAATACGAGGGTGGATTGATAAGTTTCCGGCCTAACCAAGAGATGACGCCACTAGGCCTACCTTGAGGTGACATTCTATAGTACCATCTTTCGATAGCTTGTAGCTATAGTTTCAGCCCGATCTCCTTGCTAGTGTAGGTTTGACAGCACGCTGAACAAGACGCCTCTGTGGTTTTCGTAAAAATGGAAAAGCAGGAAAATCGTGCTGNATACACAATATCCGTAACACTCACAAACTGAACAGCTGCAGATCTACTTCCTTAGTTTAAATTTAAATTTAATTAAAATATTTGAAAAGATAATATATGAAACAGTAAGTAGCCTTGTTAATACTAATAAATTAGTTGATGAATGCAGTAGGGATTTCGAATTACGAACTATTCAATAGCCTCGTCATGTACCTTGTTATAGTTTGGGTGAAGCTTACAAAAATGTATTAGAACCGCTTGAATTATACAAAGAAGAATTTTGAAAGAAACAACCTCACACGTCAAAATAACAACGCTACATTACACACGAAATATTTAAAAATTCTCATTGACCTGCTTAATGAAAATACTGCAGATAGCGGAAAGGACTTTCTGCATATGTATGATCAGAACATTCGTAATCTGAAGAATATGGTACATAAGTTCAGAATCAATCTGGTATTGTCAGTAAGCAATTATGATACATTAGTTCTTACAGGGTCTTGGCTGAATCTTCAACGTGATGTTTCAGTATAGCGTGTTTCTGAAATAAGTAACAAGCTCGCATGAGGTGATAGGGCACTATAAAACAAAAATATTAACTACTTAAATGCTTGGTGGTCCAAAAGTTCACCGTTTTCAAGAAAAACGTATGAAAGTGTGATAGATGATGTTTATGTTACAACCAACCCAGAGTAGTCCTTTGTTGTTTCAACGTTGTAGGCTTGTATGTATGTAGTCAGTCGAAATCAATGGCAGTAGGCCAGTGGGTCCGT